GACATGGGTCAACATTAACAGTTATTAATTTGTAAAATAGACGAAATAGTAGACGTTAAAAACCGTATACGTGTATAACGTATGGCATGGAATAATTTTACGACCCATAATAACATATGACAACGGATGCAAAAAGGAGACAACTAGTGGGCCATACATATGAACCCACCATTGAATTCAAATTTCCCGCTTGCGCTTCCGTTTTTCAATGTTTTAATCCTGGCCGCAGATCTGGGAGCGGAACGGAGCCCTGTAGCTGACAACACGGCACCAAATGCGGAAGGGAGCACGAATCAGGAAACGACATGTGGCGCGGGGGGGAGTGTCCTAGTAATATTATAGGGACGCTCCTGGGATCATATATAACTCACTCTCTCACTCTCTTCTACCAGTAAATTTTTTAGAGAGTGACTTGCGTCATTTAAGAGAGTGAGTGACGTCATTGAGAGGGAGTTATGGCCTCAATGCGACGTTGTTTTAGATTAATTATTCTCCCAACTCTATGCACTTAACCTTTATATATCGATATGAATTATACATTCTGCATTCATAAACGAATTGTGTGTTTGACAATTCAGAGACGCCGCTGCGCTAACAACATTCTAAAATCATTATGTCAGAGGAGATCAACCCCGCCGGATTGACAGATGAGCTCCATGAGAATGAAGAAGGTGAATTAGAAACCGACATAATAGACGCGACATCGAACTTACCAGTATCAAATATATCAATAACCAATCTGAAGATAGGCGATGCAATGTGGCAGAAGCTCACATTCAAGTCAATAATAATGGATAAATGCAAATTAAGCTACAGACCACAGTGTCCATTTAATTCAACCGATCGCGTCGAAGTAGAAATACGGGACACACGATTACGGGCGGACGATCAATTACAGGCTCGATTTACTTTTCCAGTTACATGCTCAGTAGACATCACATATTGTGGAAACGCATATGCTGTCGCAGATAAAAAAGGATGCCCATGGACAGCGTCGTACAAATTGATACAAACAAACATCAATGACGATGTCAAATATTACAAATCGATGCAATGTGGCAGAAGCTCACATTCAAGTCAATGATAATTGACAAATGCAAACTAAGCTACAGACCACAGTGTCCATTTAATTCAACCAGTCGCGTCGAAGTAGAAATACAGGACACACGATTACGGGCAGACGACTAATTACATGCTCGATTTACTTTTCCAGTTACATGCCCAGTAGACATCACATATTTTGGAAACGCATATGTTGCCGTAGATAAAAAAGGATGCCCATGGACAGCGTCGTACAAATTGATACAAACAAACAAACATCAATGACGATGTCAAATATTGCAAAATGAAAGCCACATTGGCCTTTCAAACATCGTCTTTCCCAGATGAAATAACGTATCGACCACCATTAATAAATGTTTTGTCCAAAGTATTCAACAACAACCACGTAGATATTTGGCACGTGGCACGCAGTGTGACAAAGGCAAGACTAACACGCTGCAATTCTGAATCACGTTTTCGATTGACAATGACATTATCAGCACCAATGGGCCAATACGGTTCTTCGGCCCAAAGGATAATGGCTGCACGGTCGTCAGCAAGTTCAATTCGAGATGGGCCTAAATTATTCAGTCGCCGCGACATGACTATGCCGACACGCGGCCCATTATTAATCAACACTGGGCCCTACACCCAGCCTAGTGGACCAGTCGACATAGGCCCATCTGTAAGTGAGGCCGGATCTAATAATTCTGAATCATCAAGGCTCACTATGGATGAGGCGTCCAAATTAGTAGCAGAAGCTGTAAAGGCCGCAGTGGAAGGGTCCATATCAGCCCAAAAAATAAATGTACAACGGAGGCCGATGTAAAATATGTTGTAATCAATTATTTTATTAATAACTATATTTCAATCTACAATTCAAATGCGCCCTTACAAACGATTTTGTGCGACATTCCCACACAAAATAACAAATAATTGCGTTTTTTACAATATTATTATACGCGCCGTTTAGCACACCAAAACTATCTCGGAATTCGGATACAACATTGTTTCCAATGTTGATAAATGTTTTCACGCCTTGACGGCTAACGACTGAATATTCAGTCGATTGCGGCGACATTAAAATAAAGACACATCACAATACAAAAAAATGATCTATTTTCGTGCCCCTGACCATACAACCAGTTCGTGGGTCACCACTGGACCACTAGAAAACATCTTCAAACTTAGGCGTATACGCATGATTAGGAAAACGGTCCAACACAACGACAAATTCACATTGGCCATTGTCAAGTATACCAGATGGATCAAACTCCATAGTTTGAGTAGGGGCACCACGCATGTCGCTTTCGAGCCCAGGCGTATCGACCGCAACTTCAGAGAGACCACCTGTTTGGCATAAAACTACACCCTGGATGTAGAGTCCCAACAACTTCAATTTTTGCCTAAGTCATTCATCCTTTTCAGTACCAACCTCCGGCAAATCGAAATGGAAAAAATGAGGCTCATCGTACGGGCGAAAATCGTCAATCCTCCAAATGGAATCACAAAACGATTTGGATGTGGATCGTTTTATTTTTGTAATAACTACATTTTCACTTAAAATAACTTCGGCCGGAAACACCAGATCTACTGGATGTTGTCCAACGGCGACTCAAATTTAATTTTGTTCTAGGAGTATATGGACGCCGTTGTGAAAATCGGAACATAGTCGCCATAATCGATGGTGAAACTCCGACCATTAAATGCATCACATCGATTTGATTTTATAGGCGTAATATGTTGACCGTGACATGGGTCAACGTTAATAGTTATTAATTTGTAAAATAGACGAAATAGTATAAGTTAAAAATCGTATACGTGTATAACGTATGGCACGGAATAATTTTACGACCCATAATAACATATGGCAACGGATGCAAAAAGGAGACAACTGGGGGGCCATACATATGAACCCACCATTGAATTCAAATTTCCCGCTTGCGCTTCCCTTTTTCAATGTTTTAATCCTGGCTGCAGATCTGGGAGCGGAGCGGAGTCCTGTAGCCGACAACACAACACCAAATGCGGAAGGGAGCACCAATTATGGGACAAAACGTGGCGCGGGGGGGAGGGGGAGCGTCCCAGTAATATTATAGGGACGCTCCTGGGATCATATATAACTCACTCCCTCACTCTCTTCTACTAGTAAAGTTTTTAGAGAGTGACTTGCATCATCCGAGAGAATGAGTGACGTCATTGAGAGTGAGTTATGGCCTCAATGCGACGTCGTTTTAGATTAATTATTCTCCCAACTCTATGCACTTAACCTTTATATATCGATATGAATTATACATTCCGCATTCATAAATGAATTGTGTGTTTGACAATTCAGAGAGGCCGCTGAGCTAACAACATTCTAAATCATTATGTCAGAGGAGATCAACCCCGCCGGATTGACAGATGAGCTCCATGAGAATGAAAAAGGTGAATTAGAAACCGACATAATAGACGCGACATCGAACTTACCGGTATCCAATATATCAATAACCAATCCGAAGATAGGCGATGCAATGTGGCAGAAGCTCACATTCAAGTCAATGATAATTGACAAATGCAAACTAAGCTACAGACCACAGTGTCCATTTAATTCAACCGGTCGCGTCGAAGTAGAAATACGGGACACACGATTACGGGCGAACGATCAATTACAGGCTCGATTTACTTTTCCAGTTACATGCCCAGTAGACATCACATATTTTGGAAACGAATATGTTGCCGCAGATAAAAAAGGATGCCCATGGACAGCGTCGTACAAATTGATACAAACAAACATCAATGACGATGTCAAATATTGGACAATGAAAGCCACATTGGCCTTTCAAACATTGTCTTTCCCAGATGAAATAATGTATCGACCACCATTAATAAATGTTTTGTCCAAAGTATTCAACAACAACCACGTGGATATTTGGCATGTGGCACGTAGCGTGACAAAGGCAAGACTAACACGCTGCAATTCTGAATCACGTTTTCGATCGACAATGACATTATCAGCACCAATGGGCCAATACGTTTCTTCGGCCCAAAGGATAATGGAGCGATGTACATACACACATCTTGCCGCTGATATCTGTTCCATAACTGTGGATGAAATTAATGTGTCAAAATCCGGCTGTGGACTTAGGAATAGTGACACAAATTCCTAATTATCATAATTGTATAATTGTTACTATTCCTCAATAAAATAATTTGTTCAAATTTGTTGTAACTCTGTCCTATTATGTATTATATTGGAATACTAGGCCGCCCCAAATGTGATCCATTCTAGTGTCCACTTCTTTCATAGTTTTGATGGGCCTATGTCTAAAGGGCCTATGAAAAAGCATTGGCTAACTATGGGCCTTGTCACGTTAAATGGGCCTCTTCATTTAGGAGACTGTAATTGGGCCTCTTAATTTAGTAGACTGTATTTGGGCCCATTTATATTATTGTTGATGATCCAAAACAATAATCACATTAATTAAATATAGTTTAATATTTTATTATTTAATCGTGAAAATCTACATAAATATTTTCCCACCGCCAATCTTTTACATAATATGAAGGCTCGTCGAGTACAATGGTAAGTGCAAGACAATAATTAACTGTACTAATAATTTCAAAGCTGGATAATTTGTTCGTCATCCTGCGTGCAATAAGTTGGGTAAATACAGTCTCCGTCAGGCTTCTGAGACCATTGGATGTCAGCCATGTATACATTGTTGCCGTGAACGTCCGGACTCCCAATGCTCACCGGAGGTTGTAGTTGAACATGCATTCTAACTTGTAGACCCCGTGATTCCCAGGTCGGGGCATGTCTACCGCTTTGAACCACATCGGGTTCTTCAAAGTGTCGTAAAAGACCCCTGATAGTGTCTTCTCTCTCCAGTGGATGTGGTTCGACACATCCGTTCGTGTGCAATATTGAACATCCGCATTGGAAGTGGAATATCTTCCTGTATTGGGCGTTCTTATTCTCATTGTGATGCCTCTTCTTGATTGGCTTTGGCGAAGAGGGGCTGATCGATTGTGTAGAACTCTGCGTTTCGGATTGTCCATGCTTGGAGCCCGGCATGTTCATGTTTATCTAAAAAATCTCTGTTACTGGAATCGGCTCCGGGATTGCATAATATAATAGTTGGAATCCCACCCTTTATTTTTCTTGGGCGGGCATATTTACAATTTGAAATCCATTCTCGTTGCGCTCCAATAAATTTTCGCCAGTGTTTCAAAAATTGTGGGGCCACATCATCGATTACATTATAAAAAACGTCATCATTATGGTTCCGCAAATCGATGTGACCGGAATAATTATTATGTGGCCCCAGAGATCGGGCCCAACATGTTTTCCCAATCTTAGATGGGCCTTCAGTTATAATGCTCTTGGGCCTGTGTGGTCTTTGGGCTTCATCTAGGATATTTTCTGCAACCCATTGCTGTATACATGTTGGAACGATCCATACTGTTTCTGTAAAACGATGAACGTACGACAACGGGGGTTTAAACGATATTCTGTCATAATTAGATGATAACTTGTCGTAATTTAGCCAATAACATTTTGGATCGCCATTTCTTACCATTGCCAATGCTTCGTCCTTGCTGCCGGCGGCAAGTGAGTCGCGATATATATTTTCTTTGTTGTTTTGGTTAGCGCAGTGGCCCCTCTCACGGAATTCACCCCATTCCGTATAGTCCCCGTATTTGGAGATGTATTCCAGCACAGCCTGATGGTTGTTGGCCCCTTGTATATTTAGATGGAAATGGCGATTAGTGCGATCGTGAGTAACGTTGAAGAACCATTCATCCTGTGTCTGAAAATGGTTTGGAAATTGGACAAGAGCATGGAGATGTGGTTCACCGTCCTCGTGTAATTTATGTGCAACCCTCACATAATTTGGTGGCCTGTTATTGAACAGCTCTCTAATTTTCTCTAACAATCTCTCTTTAGGTACAAAACATCTGGGATATGTGAGGAAGATGTTATTGTTTTGAACTCTAAAACGACATCGCATTGAGGCCATAACTCACTCTCAATGACGTCACTAACTCTTTCGGATGACGCAAGTCACTCTCTAAAAACTTTACTGGTATAAGAGAGTGAGGGAGTGAGTTATATATGATCCCAAGAGCGTCCCTATAATATTACTGGGACGCTCCCCCCGCTCCACGTGTCGTTCCCTGATTGGTGCTCCCTTCCGCATTTGGTGCCGTGTTGTCAGCTACAGGGCTCCGTTCCGCTCCCGGATCTGCGGCCAGGATTAAAAGATCTAAAAATGCAAGCGCAAGCAGGAAACTATTTAATCCAAAATAATTGGGGATTTTGAATTATTTTGCAATGGATCTCGGAAATCTAGGTCAATTTAGGCAGTTGATTTTAAAATACGAGCCGGATCTTTTGTTGTTGCACTGGTCCTTATTTTACTCGTTTGGCGTAAAACTACACCCTGGATGTAGAGTCCCAACAACTTCAATTTTCTCCCAAGTCGTTCATCCTTTTCAGTTCCAACCTCAGGCAAATCGAAATAGAAAAAATGAGGCTCATCGTACGGGCGAAAATCGTCAATCCTCCAAATGGAATCACAAAACGATTTGGACGTGAATCATTTTTTTTTGTAATAACTACATTTTCGCTTAAAATAACTTCGGCCGGAAACACCAGATCTACTGGATGTTGTCCAACGGCGACTCAAATTTAATTTTGTTCTAGGAGTATATGGACGCCGTTGCGAAAATCGGAACGTAGTCGCCATAATCAATGGTGAAACTCCGACCATTAAATGCATCACATCGATTTTATTTTATAGGCGTAATATGTTGATCGTGACATGGGTCAATGTTAACAGTTATTAATTTGTAAAATAGACAAAATAGTATACGTTAAAAACCGTATACGTGTATAACGTATGGCACAGAATAATTTTACGACCCATAATAACATATGGCAACGGATGCAAAAAGGAACAACTGGGGGGCCATACATATGAACCCACCATTGAATTCAAATTTCCCGCTTGCGCTTCCCTTTTTCAATGTTTTAATCCTGGCTGCAGATCTGGGAGCAGAGCAAAGCCCTGTAGCCGACAACACGGCACCAAATGCGGAAGGGAGCACCAATCAGGGGATGACACGTGGCGCGGGGGGGAAGCATGCTGAAACACTGGCGGGAGTTTATTGGAGCGCAACAGGAATGGATTTCAAATTGTAAATAATGTAATCGATAATGTCGCCCTGATGGTTCTTCGACGTTAACCACGATCGCACTAATCGCCATTTCCATCCAAATATACAAGGGGCCAACAACCATCAGGCTGTGCTGGAATACATCTCCAAATACGGGGACTATACGGAATGGGGTGAATTCCGTGAGAAGGGTCGCTGCGCTAACCAAAACAAGAAAAGAAAATATATATCGCGACGCACTAGCCACCGACAGCAAGGACGAAGCATTGGCAATGGTAAGAAATGGCGATTCAAAATGTTATTGGCTAAATTACGACAAGTTGTCATCTAATTATGACGGAATATCGTTTAAACCCCCATTGCCGTACGTTCATCGTTTTACAGAGACAGTATGGATCGTTCCAACATGTATACAGCAATGGGTTGTAGAAAATATCCTAGATGAATCCCAAAGACCAGACAGGCCCAAGAGCATTATAATTGAAGGCCCATCTAAGATTGGGAAAACATGTTGGGCCCGATCTCTGGGGCCACATAATAATTATTCCGGTCACATCGATTTGCGGGACCATAATGACGACGTTTTTTATAATGTAATCGATGATGTGGCCCCACAATTTTTGAAACACTGGCGGAAATTTATTGGAGCGCAACGGGAATGGATTTCAAATTGTAAATATGCCCGCCCAAGAAAAATAAAGGGCGGGATTCCAACTATTATATTTTGCAATCCCGGAGCCGATTCCAGTTACAGAGATTTTTTAGATAAACATGAACATGCCGGGCTCCAAGCGTGGACAATCCGAAATGCAGAGTTCTACACAATCGACCAGCCCCTCTTCGCTAGAGCCAATCAAGAAGAGGCCTCGCAATGAGAAGAAGAAGGCCTAATGCAGGAAGATATTCCACTTCCAATGCGGATATTCGATATTTCACACGAACGGATGTGTCGAACCACATCCACTGGAGAGAGAAGACACTATCAGGGGTCTTTAATGACACTTTGAAGAACCCGATGTGGTTCAAAGCGGTAGACATGTCCCGACTTGGGAATCACGGGGTCTACAAGATAGAATGCCTATTCAACTACAACCTCTGGCGAGCATTGGGAGTACGGACGTTCACGGTGACAATGTATACATGGCTGACATCCAATGGTCTCAGAAGCCTGACGGAGACTATATTTACCCAGCTTATTGCATGTAGGATGACGAACAAATTATCCAACTTTGGGATTATTAGTACAGTTAATTATTGTCTCGCACTTACCATTGTACTCGACGAGCTTTCATATTATGTAAAAGATTGGCGGTGGGAAAATATTTTTGTAGATTTTCACGATTAAATAACAAAATGTTAAGCTATATTTAATTAATGTGATTATTGTTTTGGATCATCAACAGTAATATAAATGGGCCCAAATACAGTCTACTAAATTAAGAGGCCTAATTACAATCTCCCAAATGAAGAGACCCATTTAACGTGACAAGGCCCATAGTTAGCCAATGCTTTTTCATAGGCCCTTTAGACATAGGCCCATCAAAACTATGAAAGAAATGGACACTAGAGTGGATCATATTCGGGGCGGCCCAGTATTCCAATATAATACACAACAGGACAGAGTTACAACAAATTTGAACAAATTATTTTATTGAGGAATAGTAACAATTATACAATTATGATAATTAGGAATTTGTGTCACTATTCCTAAGTCCACAACCGGATTTTGACACATCAATTTCATCCACAGTTACGGAACAGATATCAGCGGCAGGATGTGTATCTGCACATCGCTCCATTGTCTGCATGGATGGAGCCATCGCTTGGGTTTCTAATTTGGAAACCGCTTTCAGACCGTTGAATAGAGCATCTTTTTGCTGCTGTAAGGCGTTGATGAGCCGGATTAAATTTTCGGCATTATCTTCGCCGAGGACAAATAATGACCAGTGCAACAACAAAAGATCCTGCTCGTATTTTAAAATCAACCGCCTAAATTGACCTAGATCTCCGAGATCCATTGCAAAATAATTCAAAATCCCCAATTATTTTGGATTAAATAGTTTCCCGCTTGCGCTTGCCTTTTTAGATCTTTTAATCCTGGCCATAGATCTGGTAGTGGAGCAGAGCCCGGTAGACGACAACATGGCACCAAATGCAGTAACACAAACCTCAATCTTTACTAAGGAACCCTTTTTGGCCATTCGACCTAGTGCATATCGGAATCCATAGTGACCATTCCAAACTAGGACATGTTGCTTACCCAATTGTAGGTTATTTGAAACCGCTGTGTGCGTAGTGAAACCCAAGCTCCTGACAAGATGGGACAGGGAAACCCGACCCCTCCATAGGGGTGTTTTGGCTCTTACTTGCTTGATATGTGCTGTCAGAGTGTGTCTCTACAGGTTGTATGTATTAGTTTGCAAGTCTGAGTATCAGGCCTGGGGGCATCAGTATTTGAGGGAATCAGTTTTACCTGAGGGTATCAGATTTGGGGCAGTGATTTGGGAACAGTGATCAGTGTTTGAGAACAGTTCTTTTAGCTTGTGTTTGTCAACTGTGTGTTGTCTTAATTTAAGCGAAAGTGCTGTCCGTTTTTTTGCTTATTGTTTCCTTATTATGCTTTATTTATCTTTTTGCAAGGTAGTTTAACATCATTGCTTCCAACCAGGCAGATATTCTCCAAGCACTCTGGGTTAGAGGTCGAAGACTTTATCGATCCGAGGATCTGATAGACAGAAAACCAGTGTTCCTTTCATTACCCCCGGTTACTAGATGGAGGTCAGTTAGGCGCAGTTCATCAGTATAGCGGTTGCCGGATCAGTGGTCCTTATCCATCCCGCCAGTGAGTAGTCGGGCTGAGGTTTCCGTTTCCACCGCAGAGGGAGATATACATGTTCAGTTAGATCAGCACCCTATGGCAAGTATGGAGGACATGATGCGTCAGCTCCAAGAGACAATGGAAGCCATGCAGCGGGATGCTGCCCACCAGGCAGAGTTTGCTTCGCGACAGGCAGAGGTTGTGGCTTAACAGACAGAGCTGATTGCCAGACTTCAGCAATAGCAACAACCACAGCAAGCCAGAGCATCTGCTTCGCACCCACCTCCTCTCCCACCTAGGGTTCCCTCACCCGGGGAGACTGCAAACGTCTAGGAAAATAGGGACGTCCCAACGGGGCCAGTTCCACCCCAAATCCTACCTCAGCTGTCCAAAGCACCGACTAATCTATTGGATACACCGTTTGAATTCGAGGTGGATCCAATAGCGCTGAAAGTGGGCAAGTTAGAAAAACTGTTCAAGAAGGCTCAAGGCATTAATTCCATATCGGACATAGAGGTTGGATACACCGATTCGGCGGTGAATTTGTCGGACCGGTTCAAGATGCCGTGCATAGACCGTTTTGATGGTTCTGGGGATCCCATGGTGCACCTGCTGCTGTTCTCAGATATCCTAAGGCCAATGGGCCTCTCCAGACTGCAAAAGCTTTCCCTCTTCGGCCGGACCTTGTCGGGTGTTGCGGCTATTTGGTATACAAAGCTGGAGGACTCTGTCAAGAGAAGCTAGGAGGAGATGGCTGAGGCCTTTATAGCTCAATACTCCTACAACATTCAGATCGAGATCACAACTCGTGATCTCGAGACAACTAGACAGGAGCCAAAAGAGGGCTTCTCCAACTTTGTAACCTGTTGGAGAGCCAAAGCTTCTATGATGACCATCAGGCCAGTCGACAAGGATCAAATATAGATGGTTATGCGCAACCTCCAGCCTAAGCTGATGCAAAAGATGATCGTCCTACTCCTTCCGACCTTTGCGGATTTACACGATATTGGGGTACAGATCGAGGACACCATGAAACAAGGTCTTATTGATCATGAGAGAGAGCAGCCTAAGAGGGCATTTACCCGCAGTACGAATGCAGGCACGAGCAATGCTGCAGCTGCCATAACTTCAGATGTGGGCATGGTCACCACCACCACCACTTCAAAAACACTTACAGCCACACCCTAAGGCCAATGGGCCTCTCCAGACTGCAAAAGCTTTCCCTCTTCGGTCGGACCCTGTCGGGTGTTGCGGCTATTTGGTACGCAAAGCTGGAGGACTCTGTCAAGAGAAGCTGGGAGGAGATGGCTGAGGCCTTTAAGCTCAATACTCCTACAGCACGCAGATCGAGATCACAACTCGTGATCTCGAGACAACTAGACAAGAGCCAAAAGAGGGCTTCTCCAACTTTGTAACCCGTTGGAGAGCCAAAACTTCTATTATGACCATCAGGCCGGTCAACAAGGATCAAATATGGATGGTTGTGCGCAACCTCCAGCCCAAGCTGATGCAAAAGATGATCGTCCTACCCCTTCCCACCTTTGCGGATTTACACGATATTGGGGTACAGATCGAGGATGCCATGAAGCAGGGTCTTATTGATCGCGAGAGAGAGCAACCTAAGAGGGCATTGACCCATAGTACGAATGCAGGCACGAGCAATGCTGCAGCTGCCAGAACTTCAGATGTGGGCATGGTCACCACCACCACCACTCCAAAAACACTTACAGCCACACCCTTTACCGGTGCATCCGGAAGTAGCTCACAAACAGCCAGATATCCACCCTGATGCCAGAAAACCTTTACTTCACTATACATGTCTTTGTCCAAAGCTGTGGGGGTTTTGATCAAGAAAGGGCACTTGAAGCCCCTAGAGCCGCGGCCATTACCAGACAAACTTCCTCCATTCCATAACCTGGTTAAATACTGTGCGTTTCACCAACAGCATGGTCATGATATCGACCAGTGCTATAGACTGCATCATGAGATCCAGGATCTTATTGACAATAGGGTGATTGTGCCTCCAGAGAAGCCGAATGTCACCACCAACCCACTCCCACCACATAACCAAGCTCTACCTCCCAAACGCATCAACTCGATCCAAACCTTGGCCATTCCATATGACCCGAGCATATACATCACCCCTTCCCACCTACCCAAGCCGGAGGTGTTTATTCCAGACAGCACAGACTTGTGCATGTTGAGCATCTCCCAAACCCAACCTGAATCGGTGGTGGTGACTGTTGAACACAGAACCGAGATGACTTTGGGGGCAGATGGGAATGATGATTCAGAGCTTGAGGGGTCAACGAGCTCTACGTACAACCCTAGTGGTTACATCACATCAACGGGCCAGGTTAGGCCGAGAGTAGAGTTGCTAGTTGGAGTAGAGATTAGTGTGGTTCGGGAGGATAGACCTAGTTAGGGGTTAGATGACCTAGCAGAGTTGGAAGAGGATATTACTAACCTTCAGTTCTTCAATGAACAGGATTCGGGAGACGTGACTGTCAACTAGTTTGATTTGGATGGATCGGCAGATGCTATCGGGTGGCTCAGCGACGAGGCAGATGTTGTTGGGCAGCCTCAGCCAGAACAGGGATTGCCAAAGACAAGAACATCAGCAGTGGTCGGCATGGCCGAGAATCAGGGAGCATCGCTGGAGAACACCGATGTTAAGAATTTTGCTCGGGAACCGGGCAGTTTGAGTACGGAAGATACTGAACAGCAGGCTGCACTGAAGTAGTTTGAGCAGGAAAAGATCGAAGATCTTGAGAGGGCCAGGAAAGCCAAAGCCCCTGCGGGAACGGAATACGCCGTGTGCACATAAACAGTTATAACGGAACCGGACAACTGTCTGTCGGTTGCCAACGGGATGTGGTGAGAAGATGATGATTTACGTCTTGCCCACACTGACGAAGATTGGGGGCAGAACCAACCAGATGACACCTGGTATGTTGAAGGGGTTGACCATATGACCAGGAGTGGGTGGTATTTCAAACCCCCACACTTGGATCAACTAGAGGCGTCCAGAAAGGACAAAGAAGCGGAGAGGCAGAAAGAAAAATTGCTCAAGGAGGAGGCTGTGCTGAAACAGCTTAAGAAAATCCAAGCAGACATCTCCATCTGGAGACTGCTTATGGCCTCAAGAGTTCACAGACAGGCTGTCCTTTCTGCCATGGACAAGGCGAAACTTTCAATTGATACCACGCTCGAACAGTTGGTAGGGCTAGTTTTTCCGGGAGGAGCTTTCCCAACGTTGACCTTCACTGACAAGGAACTGCCACCCGAGGGCTCAGATCATAACAAACCGCTCTATATCTCTATCGAGTGTAGAGAGAAATGGATACCGGTGGTCCATGTTGACACATGATCTGCTATCAACGTGTGCCCGTCGAGAACGGCATATGCTATCAGGCTAAAACTCGCGGATTTTGTGCCTACTGCCTAGGTGATACGGGCCTACGATAATACCAGCCGAGAGGTGATGGAGACTGTACAGATTCGAACTCAGGTTGGTCCAGGGCAACTGGGATATTGATTTTCATGTCTTGGACGTTCCTGCAATCTTCAATCTACTCCTAAGGCGGCCGTGGCTGTACCAAGTTAAGGCAGTCTCTTCCACTTTGCATCAAATGCTGAAGTACCCCCACGGAAAGGGGGTGGCAATCGTCTTTGGGAATTATTTAATACATCCACCGCCAGAGGTTTCTACACCAGTTCTGGAGATTGAGCATGGCGCGGAGGATGTGTTTTTGTTAGGATTCACCCTAGCTGAGGCCCGGGTTATACAGAACATGCTAGCAGTTGATGAGGGGCTATACGTCAGCGTACAGTCTGTCTATCTTATGAACAAGCTCCAGCACATCCCCGTGATGGGATTAGGGCGAAGTGGCCAGAAAGGCATCGCAGCATCGGCCGAAGTGCCACACAACCCATATACCTTTGGCCTAGGTTATCTGCTTACCAAAGAGGATTGGGCGAGGAAAGGCAAAGAGATGGCCGGAAGAGCCAAAGCCAAGTAGACCGGGAAGCATTATGAGTTGATGTATCGATTGTGGGAGCCGAATTTTAAAGGAGGCATACTTTAACAGACAGGTATTGCCCGGCTCTGTCCAGAACCATCAGGATGCTGAATATAAAGGGTAGATGGGCCGAATAGGTACTGAGCTATGGAGCCGAGTAAATATGAACATAATGAGCGAAAAGTGGACCTGGCCCTGTGGCCTAGGGAACAAGTATAAATAAAGGAATAGCAGACTGAGAAAGGTATGTGATAATTGTGGTATTTAACTTAGAATACAAGTAATCTAGAACGAGAGATAGACTTGTCCATCGGAGTGCTAATTCTGGCACCCCCGACCGGAGTGTTTACTTCCTTTCAGGTGCCTATTGGTGGATCATGAGCGTCCCCCAGGATCAGAAGAGTATTTCCAAAAACCACTTCCCCACAACTGGCGCCGTCTGTGGGAATACTCAAGCACATCCATGGTAGACGTGATAGAGGACCCTCCAATAGTCGCTGATGACACCACACATATAGAGGACTTCACTCCAACAACCACGCACGGATTGGAGCCTAACCTAGTAAGACGCGCTTTGAACTTTGGTTCACCTTCGACTCCAGAACATGAGGCAATGCAGGCGATCATGGAGCAGGCAAAGCAAAATGAGCAGCGGTTGGAGAATATGATTGCTGAGAACGAGCGTCTTCGTCAGGATTTGGCACTGGAGGTGGCAAAGTCCAAACAAGCCGTGCGCCAAGACCCGAAGCGACCTCTGAAAGCAGGTGGTCGACGACCTTGAGCCCGGCAACAAGACACTAATAGCGACTCCAACTCACTATGTCCGGAGCCCAAAAAGAAAGGACGACCTACAACTTCCAGCTCCTCTGAAGAGAGCCCACGCGTAAGGCATAAGCGTAGAAGAAACGGCTCAGATGACGAGGACCGGCACGATCCTTTTGTACGACGGATCGCAAGGGCAATCTTGCCCAAAAAGTTTAAAGCTCCGTCATTTACTCTCTATAATGGCAAGTCAGACCCCACTGATCATATTTGCCACTACAAGTAAGCCATGACATTGCATGCAGATGATGAAGCCCTCATGTGCCGAATATTCCCCAGCAGTTTGGGACCACTGCCTGTCAGGTGGTATTACAAACTGGAGCCGGCTTTGATCAAAACCTTCCACCAATTATAGAAGTCTTTCAAGGCCAGATTCATCACAAATGAGGTCCAGCCGAAACAAGCCGACTCTCTCTGGGCAATGCAAATCAAAACACTAAGAGCGTATTCAACACGATATTGGGAATGCTTTAATCTTGTAGATGATGCTTGCAATGACACCATGGCCATCACCGCCTTCAAAATGGGACTACACCCAGATAGTGCCCTCCGCAGTTCTTTGACCAGAAGACCCCCAAAACAGTCTGGGGTTGATGAAGAAAGTAGAAGAATACTGCAAAGTAGAAGATGATGCTTTGGGGGTTAAAGCCGGACATAGTACCACCAAAATGTCCCCCCTTGAGAATGCCCAGCCAATAAGTTCCGTACCTCCTCAGAGCCCTGAACCACGCCAGTAGACTAAACGAGATAAGAAACGAGATTCTCGCTGACCAAGCGATCATTGCCCACACCAAACAAATGAGCAACTGCAAGTTGATAATAGGCGCACAAAGCGCGCTGACAAGAAATATACGGAGCTGTAAGATTCAATCAGCTTGGTTATGTCCCAAATCCAACATCTTCCGTTTTTTAAATGGCTATCCAAAATGATGGGACCTCCTGACACGAGAAGACGAGACAGACGGTGTGAATATCACAAAGATCACGGTCATGATACGGACAACTGCTATGCTCTGAAAGACCACCTTGAGGAATTGGTGCAAGATAGTCGACTTCAGCAACACGTACAAAGGAACACAATCAAAACTATTGCCTTTAGGCAGGATTCGCCTCCGCTCGGCATCATTCATATGATCTACGACCTTCCAAGGCCACTTGCCGTACACTCAATTCAAGCCCCCCTGAAGCAATACACACCATCGAAGCCGCCCCACGAAGCTCTGAGTATTATCTTTAACGATTCTGAACTTATCGGCATAACACTCCCCCATAGTGATCCATTGGTCATTGAGCTACACGTAAATCGATTCGTCGTTGAACGCGTCTTCATAGACCAAGGAAGCACTTTCGAGGTTATGTATTACGAAACCTTCATCAAACTCGGTTTCAATCAGTCAGACCTGTCTCCGGCTCCCCATCCATTGTTTGGCTTCAACGCGAATCCATAGTATCCGTTGGGGAAGATCACACTACTCGTTCGAGCCGGCTCCCGAACGATGGATGTAGTATTCTTGGTCATCAAGCTCCCATCACCGTAGAATATCATCATGGGGCGAACCTGGTTGTATGCTATCCAAGCCGTGCCTAGCACCTACCATCAGCTGTTGCACTTTCCTACCCAACACGGTATTGAGCAAATCTGTGGTTTCCGGCACTCCGCACCAGCATTTTGTCTCCCTTCCAAAATACCGAATCGAAACATCCTCGACTAACACGGTCATCATCGAAAGGATTCCATATTGGCTCAGAAACACGTTACGGCCCTGGAACTCGAGAATTGTCATTAAACCCGACTTGTGGGGAATGATCTCAGTTCTAAAATGATTCTCCATGTACATATTCCTCCTTTGTAAATGTAAGGATTCTTGTTGGGCATATATAATCCCATCCTCTGCAAAATCTAGTTAAAAAGGGCATTCCAACCAAAAAGCCCCCTCGGCGCATGACACCGTTGGGCCGATAAAGCCTCCGGATTCGGAGTGCCCTTCGTGGATATCACGATTGGCCAAGTAAAGCCTCCAAATTTGGAGCCCCCTCGGTGCATGACGCCGTTGGGATGATAAAGCCACCAGATTCAGAGCGCCCTTCGTGGATATCACGATTGGCCAAGTAAAGCCTCTGGATTCGGAGCCCCTTCGGCGCATAATGTCGTTGGGCCGATAAAGCCTCCGGATTCGGAGCCCCCTCGGCGCATGACGCTGTAGACACCCCATTTTTGACTGTTCTCAAGACTTGAATGTCACCGCTTGAACACTCAGTGATTATCCATGTTCGTGTTTATTTTGAGTTCCCGGAGGTCTTGGCTACGCGCCTTGCCTCAGGATCTCTCGATTTGCTTGTTCTATGCTTGGTTTTACACCAAGGACTTGTTTTGTTTTTGCACCTGAGGGTAGAGAGTAGCTTGCTAGCTACCCCTGATACCCACCGGCCATGGCTTGAGGCCACCGGCCGTGTTTTGAGGCTACCGGCCATTGGTGAAATAGTCCATTGGTCGGTCGGCATTTTGTGTGGCCGGCTAGCCACCTGTTTGGCTGATGGCCTCCTTTTCTAGCCAGTACCACCTTTTTGCCTTTTTTAGGCATGGTGCATGCCAGCTGTGCTAGCTGAAATGCACAAACCCTGCCTCCGTGCACATCTGTGGCTGTTTTGCCCCTTTTGGTCTAGCTTCTTGAGGAAGCTTCGACCTTTGTCTTAGCTTCCTCAAGAAGCTTGAACCCTGTCTCAGCGTCCTCAAGAAGCCTTGGCCCCTTTGCCTTGGCTTCTTGAAGAAGCCTTGATCCTTTTAATTAGCTTCTCTTGGAAGCTTAACACCTTTGATGGTCTATATAAGGAGACAAACCCTCTCCTTTGTTTTGGTTCAGCAAAAAACCAGACCATATATGATATATATTTGATATATATCACACTCTCTCTTGATATCTCCCTCTCTCTCTTCATTTATATGTGTTTGAAGGCCTAAAAGTGTAGTTTGTTCTTAGTTTTGCACTAGAACACCTACTATTACACCATACTTCAACTTGGGAGGTGTTGAGAGGTTGTTCTTGGAGTTTTGAGTTGGTTTTGGTCATGAGGAAGAGGCTGAGGTTGCTGTTCTTCAAGTGTTCTTCAAGGGTAACACTATTTGCTTTATATTTTCCAATCTTGCACTAGTTTTTAACCCACTTTTCATGCTATTTTAGACTTTGTGTATAACTTGAAAAAGTATTGTATTTGCATGCTTAAGATCTTTCATTAAGGTCATTTTGTTGTTTGGGGTCGACCTCCCCCTTTTAGGCCTTGTTTGGCCCTTTTTGTGCTCTCTTTGTTAAGCCTTGAATACTATTGTGTTTTGGTTTTCTCACCACTGAAATCCAGTGGATTTTCAGTGGTGATGAAGAGGGTTTGAGGTCTTGCATAGGGGAGGGACACCCCTCTCCCTTTGTCTCTCTTTTGGTTACATTTTTGGCTCATAAGGGTAGCATGCATGCTTAGTTGCTTTTGCCTTCATTTCAGAGGCTTTTTGGGTGTTATTGGGTCATATTACATCTCTATTTTGGTCGGATTTATACCCCTTTGCATGCATGATATACTTGCTTTGCATTCCATCTCTTTGCCTAGAAATGCATCTTGCCTTTAAGACCATCATGGTTGCATGTTCTTGCCTAACTTTGTGAAGTTCTTGGTCATGTTTCATCATGCTTGAAGTTTGTTAGGCACTGATTTGATCATATTTTCCATGTTTGGTATAGCCTCTTTGCATTTTGGCTTGTGAGCCTTTAGTGTGTGAGTCACGAGCATGCTTGAGTTGGGTTGCTTTAGTGATTTGGAATCATTTCTCATGCCATTTCAATCACTAATCCATGCTTATATGTTTGCATTCATCATCCCTTTCATGCCTTGAAACGTTGTTCTGTCATGCCTTGAAATAGGTCTTGATGCATGCCTCTTGTTTTGTGTCCCTTAGGTGCCATATCAGTTGGTTTTAGGGGTCCTTTTTGTATGCTAAAACTTTGTTTTGTATTGAAAAGTTCATGCCATGTTTGCTTGGGGTAGGTGTTGAGTAATGCCCTCTTTTGTGCCCTTGAATGCCTTCAATATTACACCCATCCCCTAGGATGTTTTGGCATCATTCTTCGCATGCTTTTCAGAGTTTAACATGAGTATTTAATGTCCATGTATATCGGCATACGTCGCATTGCCCTTTGCTTGGTTTGGGGTGTCAAACCAAGTATGATGGTTGAGAAGTGTTCGTACTTGAAGTGATGAAACACGTTTCAATTCTCGGTCGCCAATGCCCTTGATCTCAACATGATAGGGCATTGGTACTCATTTGTTATGTTGCATGCATTTACATTAATTGGTAAACTTGGTGTCTTAGGCCATCATGCATTGGAATGCGTGATTGGTCCTCCTTTTCTGGCCGGTACCACATTTTTGCCTTTTGCAGGCATAATGCATGCCAATGCAGGGACCCTCCTCCCTATGCACGGGTGTGACTGTTTTGAACCTTTGACCCTTTTTGATCCAAACTTCTTCCCCCCTTTGCTCAAGCTTCTTGAGGAAGCTTGACCCTTTGTCTTAGCTTCCTCAAGAAGCTTGCACCCTTAGCTTAGCTTCCCTTGGAAGACTTGACCCCTTTAGGATAGCTTCTCTTGGAAGCTTAGCCTTTTCCATTGTCTATATAAGGAGACCTCTCTTCTCTATTTGAGAGGTTCAGCAAAACCAGACCATATATGATATATATTTGATATATATCACTCTCTCTCTCTATATATCTCCCTCTCTCTCTTCATTTGTATGCGTTTGAGGGCCTAAAAGTGTAGTTTGTTCTTAGTTTTGCACTAGAACACCTACTATTACACCATACTTCAACTTGGGAGGTGTTGAGAGGTTGTTCTTGGAGTTTTGAGCTGGTTTTGGTCGTGAGGAAGAGGCTGAGGTTGCTGTTCTTCAAGTTTTCTTCAAGGGTAAGACTATTTGCTTTATATTTCTCAATCTTGCACTAGTTTTGAACCCACTTTTCATGCTGTTTTAGACTTTGTGTATAACTTGAAAAAGTATTGTATTTGCATGCTTAAGATCTTTCATTAAGGTCATTTTGTTGTTCGGGGTCGACCTCCCCTTCTTAGGCCTTGTTTGGCCCTTTTTGTGCTCTCTTTGTTAAGCCTTGAATACTATTGTGTTTTGGTTTTCTCACCACTGAAATCCAGTGGATTTTCAGTGGTGATGAAGAGGGTTTGAGGTCTTGCATAGGGGAGGGACACCCCTCTTCCTTTGTCTCTCTTTTGGTTACATTTTTGGCTCATAAGGGTAGCATGCATGCTTAGTTACTTTTGGCTTCATTTTAGAGGCTTTTTGGGTGTTATTGGGTCATATTGGTCGGATTTATACCCCTTTGCATGCATGATATACTTGCTTTGCATTCCACCTCTTTGCCTAGAAATGCATCTTGCCTTTAAGACCATCATGCTTGCATGTTCTTGCCTAACTTTGTGAAGTTCTTGGTCATGTTTCATCATGCTTGAAGTCTGTTAGGCACTGATTTGATCATATTTTCCATGTTTGGTATAGCTTCTTCGCATTTTGGCTTGTGAGCCTTTAGTGTGTGAGTCATGAGCATGCTTGAGTTGGGTTGCTTTATTGATTTGGAATCATTTCTCATCCCATTTCAATCACTAATCCATGCTTGTATGTTTGCATTCATCATCCCTTTCATGCCTTGAAACGTTGTTTTTTTATGCCTTGAAATAGGTCTTGATGCATGCCTCTTGTTTTGTGTCCTTTAGCTGCCATATCAGTGGGTTTTAGGGGTCTTTTTTGTATGCTAAAACTTTGTTTTGTATTGAAAAGTTCATGCCATGTTTGCTTGGGGTAGGTGTTGAGTAATGCCCTCTTTTGTGCCATTGAATGCCTTCAATCTTACACCCATCCCCTAGGATGTTTTGGCATCATTCTTCGCATGCTTTTCAGAGTTTAACATGAGTATTTAATGTCCATGTATATCACCTTTGAGTGTTCTTGAGAGTAGCCTTCCATGCTTGGGTTTTTGGCTCATTGGTGTGCATGTTTGCATAAGCACTTGTTCATCATTTTTGGCACTTTTGGCCACTGTTTTGGGGTGTGGCTGAGGCCTCCCATTTCAGTCTAGGTCCATCCTTGTGTATAGTTGTATGTTTGATTTATTGCCTCTAGTTGCATGCTTGCAATATACCATGTTTGCATTACATGATAGGTTGCATTGCATTGCATTGCATCTCCCATGCTTAATACATTACATTTGCATGGATAGGTTACATTGCATTTGGCATGTTTTGTGCTTTAGTCATTTCGCACATTTGGGCCATGTTTGTATACATGCATTGCATTGCTTGGTTTGGGGTGTCAAACCAAGCATGAGGGGTGAGGTGTGTTTGTACTCAAAGTGACGAAAAACGTCTCACTCCTCGGTTGCCAATGCCCTTGATCTCAA